CATCATCATCATCAGCATCATCACATCATCATCATCATCATCATCATCCATCCCCATCCCCCCCTCCCTCCCTCCCTCCCCCTCCCTCCCTCCCTCCCTCCCTACCCTCCCTCCCTCCCTCCCTCCCTCCTCCCTCCCACCTCTCCCCTCTTCCTCCCTCCCCCCTCCTGCCTTCCCCCCTTCGGCATCCCGAGACTGCCCGGGGCCGCGTCGAGGCTGCCGCAGGGTGCCCCCCACTCCTCGGCGATCCCCAGCTCGCGCCCAAGACGGCCCGTCGGCCCGAGGCCCGCAGCGGACCCGACCGTGCGGCTGCACCACGCCGCAGCATCGCAGCGATGCTCCGCATCGACGGTCGTCGTCGTCGTCGTCGTCGTCGTCGTCGGCGGCGGCGGCGGCGTCGGGCGTCGGCGTCGGCGTCGGCGGCGGCGTCGGCGGCGGCGGCGGCGGCGGCGGCCTCGGCCTCGGCCTCGGCCTCGGCGTGCCCTCTGCAGAGGTCCCCAGAGGTTTGGGAGGTCCCCAGCGGTTGGATGCACTTGAGGAGCCAGCGATGCCATGAACAAGGAAACGTCTGAGTCCGCGCGGATTTCGTAGACTGGCGCTGGGCCTTCCTCCGTGGCGCGCGGAGCGCGCCGGGGGCGGCGCCGGAGGCGCCGCCGGGGGGGCTTCAGCGCCAGTCCAAGAAATCTGCGCAGCCCTCCGAAGGCTTATGTTTATGAGCATCGTTGAACCGACCCGTGTTCCCACGAGCGTGGTCAGGGCCACAGTGGCCGATTTACCCCTCTGGATGGGGATGTAGAGTTTCCTTCGAGTTTCGAGGGGAGCATCCCCAACTGGGGTGCTGAGATCGTCGGGCTCGGGATGGGGATGGGGTAAGGGTCGGTTAAACGATACTACGCGACCTGCTCCTGGTGAGGTCGGCAGAGCCCACCAGCGTGCACGTCGGTGCTGCACTGGCAAGGCGGCGGGGTTCGCCGCAGGCAGCACTGATAGACTCTGCCTGTGCTATTCCATAAAACTCGGCCTCCAGGAAGTTCCTGTGAAGCAGCGCTGGGCTGCAGCTTTTGTGCACCGCCTCGTCCATCTCCAGGACGAGCATCTGGAAGTCGTAGTCGTCAAAACCAAGCATGACCACAAGAAATCTGAACAAGCCAAACTCTGCATAAATGCGCTTGGCGATCAGCGCGTTCCAGACGTCCGCGCGCGCAGCCTCTTCGTGGTCCAGATTGCCGTCGGAGCCGGCAAACATGAATATAAACAGCCGCTCCTTGACAAACCAATTTAGGTTCACAACGTTGAGCAAAGATGGCACCAGGAGGGAGAACACAAACTAAAGGTTCGAGCCCTCCGCCCAAAGGTGACCCCGGAGACCGCCTGCAGGCCCCCCAGAGACCCCCAAAGGAGGCCCAAAAGAGGCCACCTAGAGGCCCACAAGAGGGCCCAAACACTCCAAAACTGAATCACAGAGGCTTCCGAGAGGTTTCGCAAGATGTCCCAGGAAGTATGTAATCGGATCTACTGGAACCACGCGCGTTTTGCGCGTGCTAGTGTTCTAACCAAGCACATGCTCAACTGACGTTTCATGCAAAACAACATGCATGACCAAACTGAGAGAGGCCTGCGCGCAAGTACATCACGGATCTGAAACGAAAGCACGACGAGTGCCTCAATTGTGCTCACACGGGGCTTATGCAACGCTTGGGACAGCTACCCAGGCAAGCACTTGAAGCCGTCTTGAACTCTTGGGCCCGTTGCAAGCACACACACACACACACGCACATACACACATCCATTTTATGCATATATATATATACAAACATACAGACCTGCATGTTTACATCGACTGCCACGTACACATATACTGACTCAGGGGCGCGTGGGCCTAGCGGGGGGCGTACCGAGAGAGCTCCGCGCTGCATGTGGTCTGGGGCGAGCGCCGCCTCACGCTCTCGCTCTTGTTTTCTTTGTTTTTCTCTCTCTCTCTCTCTGGTTCCCCCTCTTCTCTATCTCTACATATCTCTCTCTCTCTTTCTCTCTCTCTCTCTCTCTCTCTCTCTCTCTCTCTCTCTCTCTATCTCTCTCTATATCTGTCTTTCTCTCTCTCTCTCTCTTTCTCTCTCTCTCTCTCTCTCTCTCTCTCTCTCTCTATATATATATATATATAAATAACTATATATATACCCCTCTCGTTCTCCATATATATATATATCTCTTTTTTTCTCTCTCTCTCTCTCTCTCTCTCTCTTTATGTAAACGTGTATCCTTATATTTGTTGTTCGTGTTTGTGGTATCTCTCTGTGCAAGTACATATATATACATACATACATACATACATACATATCAGACTGGTTATATGTTCTCTGTCTTGTTTCCTTATTTCTCCCTCTCTGTCTCTCTCTCTCTCCCTCTCTCTCTAACGATTTCCGTTCCTCCTTCTGCCCCGGCGAAGGTCAGTCTAAAACGCATTGGAGCGCTGCTTGGAAAAATACACACATGTTCAAAA